AAATTTAATATCATCTTCAGTATTTTCTCATTAGTAGGTGATTTATTTTTCGTCTACCCTTTTTTCGGATCAGTTTATTTTCGGTATCGGCACTAAAATTTTTCAAATTAGATTGGTAGAAGTTTACTTAATCTTTTTTTCTAGAGAGCATCATAGATATTTCTCATCTATCACAAACTGGTGCAATTCTCTTACAATAAAATATCTTATCGATCAAACCAAGGAAATCAGTGTGAATCTAATGATTATTTGCTCAGCGTTGATGCACCTTGAGCCAAGAAATAATGCAGACGTACCGAACGAACGACAAGAGGCAAAAGGGGTGGATCGGAAACACGGAGCAGAACCCCTTGACATATTGCTACCTAGGCAACTCGCTGGAGTGCTCTTCAGTTCTTCAGCCTATCCTTCACCTCCTCGTCTTCAGTTCCTCCGTCTTCACTCTTGTACATCGCCCTGCGTTCCCTCCCCTTTCGTTCCCCTGTCTTCTCTACCCTTCTAGCCTATTCTTTTCGACTCTAGTCAGTTATATATTTCATCTTATTCCATATTGTTTTAATTCATTCTCTTCTTTGACTTTTTATTCTTTCGGCGAGACGCTAGATATTTTCTTATCTACGAGCTAGCAATCTCTTTGCCTCTTTGTCTGTCAGACTATTTGCTAAGTTCTCTCACAGCTTGCTTTTCTGCCAACCTGCCAGCCCTACCTCTCTGTCTTATCCCTCTTATCCCCTGTAGACTCCGTGTTCTTCTTGCCTGGAGCTGCAGTCTTTGCTAGGAATCGGTTAGTGACGTAAGTCGCACCGATGTTGCCTCTTGCCGCTCTTATTCAGTGACTATTTTTTTCTCGGTTTTCCTCGGCTTCTACGTATGGAGATATCTTGAATTATATTCAATAATAATTTTCCAAGTTTCAGTTTCTAAGCTATGTTCGTTTTTTTAAATATATATTTATACGGTATTCTTGTGCTACGGAAATAATTTTCATTTCACATGCGTCATGGAAAATATCGGTACAAGAGGTAGTTTACGATATTTTCTTTTATATCCATGTTACGTTAGTGAATCATCAAGAATTTTCGTTATTTCCTAATTTTTTGATAAATAGAAATATCCATATAAATTATTTATCAGCAATGATAATTTGAGTCGGTAATATTGTTCAAAATAAACCTGTGATACGATATTTTTACAAGTCAGCAGGAAAAGTGGAATCATGTAAGGATATAAGGAAAAAATTTCAAATTTGGTGTATTTTTAAGAAATATTACAGTTAGATATTTCGTTAAATATTTGATAAAAGAATAAAATTTTGTAACAGCAATCAGAATGTGAGCAATCCTTATTTATGTTTTTCAATTTAATTGAATGGGAAGCATAGGAAATATTCTAAAATATTTCATATCAAATTGAGCTGCAGTGCGGTTTTATGTACTATCATCATTTTCTGTTTTCTACGTTGCCGCTTTTTGCTAATCCTGCTTTCTGATTTTTTTGTTTACAAAGTCCATCGCTGTCATTTATAATCATATGGGCTACCAACCTTTTCATTAATAAGCTTGAGATTGTGATTTATACGATTCGTAGAATATGGAAATAGAAAAAGCTGATAGGAAAGAAAATTTTAGCAAGAAACTTCCGTAGTGGCAATAGTGAATCCTAATTGGTAGGCTCCGATATACGGCAGAGAGAGAGGGAGAGAGAGAGAGAGAGAGAGAGAGAGAGAGAGAGAGAGAGGGGTGACCTTTAGCTATCTTTAGCCAACCAAATGTGTTACAGTATTCAAACAGAGTACATAGCTTACCGGGTAATACTCGAGCCTAGTGATCGCAGGGTTGCTGATTCGAGTCTCACTTCTAGCATCTTTTTTTTCCTTCTTTTAAATACTTACGTCATTCAAATATAAAAATCACTAAATCTATGACAGTTCACAGATATATAATTATAATCTTCAATGAAAATCGCACGTTTTATTTTTCTAATTCGCGATAAGTGGTTCTGTACGGGAATTGATGCATCGGTACGCAGGGGGTGGTATACTCCCTTAAACGTGACTTCCCGCAAAATAGCAAGAACATGTAAACTTTAATTTTACTTCTTCTTTCAAATGGTACGCGTTTCATTAAATTCCAATCGTAAGTTTTTTAAATAGGGTAAAAAAAAAAAGAATAATCAACAGGTGGTTAACCCCCTCAAGAGACAATTATTTTTAATATCTAGGTGCACTTTACATTACTCGCGATGAGAAACTTCTTAGTTTTTGTTTCATTGAAATCGGTCGACTCCTTCTACGTGAAACTGCATTACCTCCCCTCGACATACCGAACTTTGGTTGATTTCACCCCCTAAAACCATTTTTCCGTCGATAAAAAAAAAACACGTGTCTCTTAAATTTTCAAGTGCTACAACATAGTTGAGTTTCATAAAAATTTGTGGGGGGGGGGGGCACTAAAGTGATGTTCCTTGTGAAGTCACGTGATGCGCGCCATGCGCAACTTATTCAAACGTTCAACGATTGTTACTATTGGTTCATCTAAGGGAAATCGCTAGGAAAAGAGTACGTGATGGTTAAGGAAGTTGAGTCATGGGTGTTCAAAATTTCGGCGGGATACTTTGTATGGGGGTGAAGTATTTACTGGGTTCATGTAATTCAGTTAGCGTAAATTACTCGTAAGCTAATCAAGCCAATTTCATATGTAAACAAATGTAAGTGTAAGAACTTTGATACATATGCATATGCATCCTGACACTCGCAAATAGACAAATCCATAAATCAAGACAATGAAAGATAAAGGCTTATAGAGTAATTGTTTTTAATACTAGAACGATGAAGCCCGTAACGATGACGGATTTCAGATTTCTTGTTTCAAATTACAAACATTATTAATTATTTTAATCCACACAATAGACTACTGTAAAAACCCCTTTCGGGGTTCTGGATAATTTCGAGATTGTGAACCACTCGCATGTTATCAAATGCATAATTTTTTAATAATAAAGACCACTATATTTAAGGAAAATTAGCGGCGGTGTAAAGGGTAAGGTGCTTTCCTCGAAATTTATATTGCCTTTTATCAAGATAAAAGAGTGAATTAATATGCCAATTTATTTTTCATCAACCACTCTTATTTCGAAGTTTTGTGTACAAGATACCTGAATACACCAAAAATAATTCTGATTTTGAGTCTCTGGAGCGTGTGATAGTTTTGTTCGAGTCTCTACTGATAAACCAATATATTTATTGCTGCTAGTCACTAGTTTTGTATATAATATATGTAACTTAGTGGTCCGCCTCATTAATCTTAACAGAAGATTATATTTTTGGATCGATGCTTATATGTCTTTTTACACATATCTGCATGCCCAGTTGTTCTTTTATTAATCGTGTAGTGTTTATATCTTATAATTTTTCAAAAATTTATAAATTTGTACGCTTCATTTGAGAAATCTCAATCTTCTGTATGCCCAATTTTTTGCTATAGTATTTGATATAAGTTGCCTTTAAATGGATTTTTCACTACATAAATTGATTTGCTTTTTCGTTATTGTTTAACGCAAAAATTAGTTCTGTTCAAAATCACCCTAGAGCAATTAGGAGAGCGTGCAGGAGTAGTAAATTGTGTGGAATCCTTTGAATCCCAGTGCGTGGTTTACGGGTATGTCCAAGAAATATGCGGTTTTGTGATGAATCATTTCATAAAACACAAACGTGTTATCATCACATTTAAAAATTAAAATAATTAAACGTTTCTTTCATTGTCAAATTTCTTTCATTGCATGAATAAAAAGAAGATCAACAGTAGAAACATATCTTCAAAAAGTAAGATTGTTGAAAACTTGAGAAACTGTGAGATAAATATACTAATGACTGGCCACGTTCCAATTACTAAACAAAGCGTGTATACAAGAGAGATGGAAATACGGTTTCTTATGGAAGTTCAGGGACTGGGACCAAACGTTAGGTGCCCAGTCACTGAGACCTTTACCTTACTGTTAAATAGATGTTGAGTTTAACTGATGTCAATAGATATATACGTAGACTGTATGCTGAAGTTTGAGATTAATATCAATTTTTTAAAATTAATAATTAGTGATAATTACATGATACAAAACTGAGGTGAAACTTTTTTTAAATTTCTTTAATATTTTCATACTTACCACATTTATCAATAGAATCTTATGTAAAAATAAACAGCAAGAAGCTGCTTTCGAATTGTAAGTGTTTCTGATTTTTTTGTATTAGCTACTAGATTTTCATAATCTTGGGAACTATTAAAACAAAACAACCTGAACTCGTAAAACGACTATGGAGACAGCGCAGGCTGGCTACCTATTCCGTCCTCGGATTCGTCACCTGTCCCGACACTTTCCACCTTCGCTTCGGATTTCATCTTTGAGAACGCGCCCTCCTTCTGACGATATTATAAACCAGCGGTTATTCGAACATTCATACCTTCCCTAGTCCAATCCCCGAACTCCAGAAGCTATTCAGGGTCTAGAAAATCTAAAGATCAACGGACACGCTCCTCCACGAGGATATTCAGATTCTAGAAACAATTTAAAAAATCTCACTTCAATTCCTTGAAATATTCGACTCGCCTTGATTTGGGTTGAGAAAAACAGTATTAAATATAAGAATTTTTCACATAATATCGTTAAATGCAGTTGATGGTCGGAAATGGGCCACTAGTTTCAAGTATGATACATTTCGCTACTCTTATGAAACTTCTAATCTTCACGTTCCTCGATCTCGACTATAGGTTCAAAAATATTTAAAAAAAAAGACCTACTACGGACAAATTAATCTTGTTTTTTTTTTACAAAATATTGCCAATAACTATAAGACGATTAAAACACAGTTGCTATTTCCTTTCTTTTTTCTTCTATCGACTAAAATAAACTTTGAGATATTGGAAAGGGTAAAACTAGAGAAATTAAGGAAAGTAGCGAAATGTCAGGAGATTATTCCTGGAAATGACAAGAGGACTTTTGGATTACAGGTGATATGGGTATGCATCCTGTGTCGCAAGAAACAAGAGCTCCTGTCAAAAACGGGACAATGGATGACAAAGTCGGGTTTGGGTGCGGCCGACAATGCCATGTTGCGAAGGATGCAGGAAGATATGCAAAGTATCGGTCCTCTCGGACTCTCGGAGCAAACTCAGGATAAACGGCCGAAGCTCGAACGAGCTCACAGTGCGGCCGAAAAAGAGAACCTTCCTCTGTTGCAGAGTAGTGGAAGTCTTTTAAGAAGACAATATTCGCAACAGGAACAAGTAAGTCTATATCTTTTTTATTAAAAATAATGAGAAATTTACGTGTGTCAATGAAATAATATCTTTGGCTTTGGTATTACCAAGTACATAATTCGGCTGTACTTTCTTTTTACGAGTACTCCCCCTGTATTCCCCCTTGTCCTGTACAGGTACCTGGACGCCGAATGTCAACAAGTGACAGTGGTGTCGAAATGTCCGTATCGCCGCATTCGAGAAGTTTGCCAACGCCTCACGTCGTTATCGATTCGTATCCAATGCAACAAACGCCCAGACATCCTGCCGCCTATCCCGAGGATGACCCTAATCTCTATCGGGGTGAGCTCGATGGTTTGATGCGTCAACATGCCCAGAGTTATCAGCGGCAACGGCAAATTTATCAAGTGAGTTTAAATTTACTTACGATTATTAGAAATATTAGAAATGCTGCTCACGTTTTCTAATTTAGGAAAAGAATTCGGATATCGCGATGGCTTACGGGCATCCCGTGGTAGACTCACCAGCTCCACGAACGATGCATCCTGGACAGCAGCAACAGCAACAGCATCCATCGCAGCTACAGTCGCAGCAGCACTCGATGCACCAATCGACGCAATCTTGTGGACCGAACGTGCAGTCCGCTCCTGGAGGCGTCGTCTCTAATACCGGTGCTCTTCAGCAGCAGCGCAGCTTCAGCAGTAGTGAAGAAGAGCGCAGTACTCCTGAATGCGCGAGCGACGAACACGATGAGTCCGAGAAGGGTGAGTTGTTAGCCACGTTCGATGCTTCCTTAGGTTTTAAACTTGCAGTATTGAGTTTACCGATCTCGAATCTCATGCCGAGTATTGCGATGGAAATCGATAAATCTCAGCGATGTTCGTTAGGGATCGTAATTTTTATTTCCCCGATCATTCGTAAATTCAGGGCTCTAAAATCAACTGGTACCAACAAAGTAAGCATGACGAACGGCGAATAACGAATAAGAAAAAACTCGAGGTACGGTGCAACTACTTGCGAAGAGAAGTAACGAGAGAAAGAGATTTCCTGTGATGTGCAAACGCATAAATTATGCTATCGCGTCTTATGCACTTGCCGTTGTTGAAAGAAATTTGTTCTGGACGTGCGTTGTTTTCGAACAGGACATGTCGGACAAGTATAAATCATATACTATATAGTTTACATTTAAAACTTGACTTTCTTCTGTAAAAACTATTCGTGACTCTCAAATGTCACACATATACATATAGTTGGTCCACGAGTTCTATATTGTCGCAATAACAGTTCGCAAATAATACAATCCTTAGGAAATACATGTGGCATTCCATAAAATCAGGGAAATATTTTTTTAAATAGATAAATAAAATATATTTCGGTGTAAAGCCTTGCACATACATACTTTGGGACAAAATTTGCACGCAGAGCCATGTGCTGATTGACTCAGGATTTGCGACTAAGTTTACGAAGTGTCAGAAAAACATATTGAACTCGTGGACACAACATGATACCGGTACACACCTTGCATCTAGAATAACAACTGCATAAGACGCTTCCGCATGTTATATTGTGCCTAATAAAAAAAGAAAATTCTAGCCAGCAGGCTGAAAAAAAGGTAAACGTTCATGGACGCATGTTCATCGGGTGAACGGATTCGCAGTGGCACGAAGATGCCCTGATATTGAGGATCGGTTATCATGGCAAAGCTGTGGCTTTGTGCACCTCGTGAGGATCTCTGAAATTCATAGCTGACTAGATATATGCTCGTCGAGCCGTGAACCGATTCACCGAGGTGTGTATTACCAAGAGGACAACCCAGGTTCTAAAAATAGCCACGGCTCCAGACCATCTCTTGCAAAGACCCCACCTTTTTTCACCCTCGTTCGCACTCGTGTTTCGCGATGCCGATCAGCTCTATAAAGTCAACTTTCATGAAGTCTACATTCAATTTCATAAATCTACCGTACAAACCAGGACTTTCGCACCATCTTCTTGATCTTCCATCCCTTGATCCCATAAATAGCAGCAGTTTAATTTCTCCAATTCTTCGTAGAAAATTGCAACACTTAAACCTACGTTAGCTCCATCGCAATGTAAAACCGATCGATAAGTTTATAAGCAGCCTCGCTGCGTTGCCTCGCGTTTTGTATCGTGGATCTTCCCTTTGGTGTCTCGAGTATCCATCCAATACATCATGGCCAAGCTAGTTATACGATGGAATATCGTGTATCGCGTATCGTGGAATGCGCTACCTACCCTCTGGGAATTCTCTGCTCATGTCCTCCCGGTTCCGTCGTTGCATTGATTCCTTCCTTCCTCCCTCTCTTTCAGCCTCTGCCCCTCCACCTTCGAAGAACGCCTACGTGTTTCGTGTGACGTCATACGACCACCACGTGGGCGAACTCAAACACCTCCATTCGCCCACCGCTCCTCACCAACTACAAAATCCATCTCCTATCCTCACTGTCTACTTCACTCACCTACAGTACTGCCAACCTCGCTACTACCACCGGCAGCGCTAACCAATATCAACAACATTACCAACTTCACGTACAACCTGCCCGGTCTCTAATCCCCACCTTACTCAAAGGCCTCTTCGTGGTCCATTCAGAACAGCGTTTTCTGCTCCTCACTGTGCCTCTTCCACTCTCACTCCCACTCGCGCTCTCTTGAATTCGTTTCTCTCTATAGGAAACCCTATTAGTCTGATAGTAAAGCATCCCGATATGTTGCCCAAGGAACACGCCCTTTCGCAATTTCATCCTTACGTCACATTGCGCACTGTCGCTCACATTTTTTTAGACTCCTCGTTTTTCTTGATCAAACAGAATAATTATGAGCATTAAATATTAGATTTGACAGGGAAACTAGCGAGGCCTGCGGTGATGATGACGGTGGAAACATATTGCTCCATACGAGAAAGAGAGATTCATAAGCATTCATTCGCGTACACTTCTTTCCACTCATCTCGTATTGACAGTGAATAACATCAGGACTCTCAAGATGTGTGTATATATGTACTATAGAGAGAGAGATGTTGACATTAAGTTTTCTCTGTTTTTTCCCTGTATTTTCTTTGTACCCAGATTAACACAAGATAGTATCAACTATCGTAGTAGACGAGAATGAATGAATGAATTGCCTATTGATATAGATTTGGGTACTGCTATTTTTAATAGACATGCCACCTAAGCTTACTACTTTTTAAGTTTTAACTGATCTTTCCTATCGTTCTTTTAACTTCCTTCTAACTTCTAATTGGGCAGTGTACCAATTCGTTATTATAAATGGAAAGTTTTCACCATTTCTCGTTTTTAATCTTGACAATACTTTGTCTTGAACTAATGCACTGTTGTTCAATTTCACTGTTGAACTAATTCACTGTAATGTTCCGAATTCCGATTTTCAATTGGACGAATTTACGCTGTCCTCCCAGAATGTCATTAATTGGGCCATGTGACCATCTATTTCACTCTTATTATTGTTACCTTTTGATTTGGTTATAAAACCGTAAATGAAACATTTATTAAAATACAGCAAGCTGCTTCTAATGTCTTATTAACTCTATCAAAAAATATTAAACAAATTACTTGCCTCGAAGCATTGCCGCTTGGACCATGTGACGTCACATCTTAAGCATTTGCCGTTACTGCAAGAAAAACCCAATTTCATCAATATAATTTATAAATATTATTTTTTTATTTATGTTTTCAACTTAATTTTTCACACGAATCGTCTTAAAACTGGAATTAATGATCATTTGCAAATATTACTGTACTGTTAATGTCCGGAACTTAATTTCTCGTGTAAATTTCCACTCGATCGCTGAACCGATTTATCATAAATTTTGGATACATATTTCCCGTTGCGTACACGAGCGCACCCCCATAATACTTTTACGTTGCAATGACGATTACCCAAGGTGCTCTCGCATGTTCCATATAATCATGCCTTGTAATTTATAGTATTGGTTGAAACTTGCCCTGCTCAATTCTGAAAGCATAAATTTCTTTTAATGAAGAAGGAATTCATAAGGTAATCGCAATTTGTATTTGAGATAACACCGTAAATAAAATTAGAAAGGTTATCGTCAATCTATTTTCTTTTTCTTATTGAAATATTCGATTCTATTCTAAGAAATGATTTCATCATAAATCTAGAATGGTATTAAACTCATTATTAAATAGTTATCCTCTTATCCTTATACCAATTTTCGATTCTCGTTCTCAGTGACCTAGCAGTATCATGAGTTTTATATTTAGTATACCTAGACTTATGTATACGAGCTCTTCAAAATTCCTTTCACAGATTAGAAATAACAACGATACTATAAAACGTACCATGTGTCTCCTGTGTATCACACTGATTAGCCTGAACGATAGCTGATTCTGTTATCGTCGATTGTCTCTGATATTATAATTATTGTACTGTATTAAAAGCTACTGTAAATTAAGACGCGGACGTTCCACATGAAATTGTAGGAAACACTCCTGAATCTAGAGCCACGGAATCTAGATAACGAAGGACTTCTATTACTGGACAATCTCTCTCTCCTCTCTTTCCCTCCCCTTTTCATCTTTCCTTTAAAGTCTTTCTTCGATCGATTGTACCTAGGACGCAGTGTATAGTACGTAGTGTGCGCTGTGGGTTCTATGACGTTAAAGCCATGGCACAGAAAGTCGTGACCACGTGAACGTAAGATTTTTATTCGTCGAACATAATGGATGTTACAACGTTCAATTTTTTTTTCTATGCAATGACTTTTAATCCTACATTGAATGTATGACTTGATTCAGGCCATGAGAGCATCTTTTCATCTTCTTGCCGAAGAGCAATCTCAGGTAATAAGTAAAGAAAGTAATGACTCTCGCAAAATTGGTTGCACCGTTCCTCGTAGCTCGGACCGCGGACGGAATCTCATCTACGTATCTATTACGAGTAAAAATGTACCCAAGTATAGGTGATGAAGATAATTGATGATAAACGATGAGGTGTCTTTTCGTCTTCAAAGTAGACGAATGAATGAAGTAAGCTTGTCGGAGAATCGTTCTGCCCGTTGAGAAGGGTCGAACGGTGTTAGTGGACGGCGTTGTTGCTCCCATTTGTAGATGCACTGAATTAGTATAGATATAGTATGTAGAAGATGCTCGAGGTAAGTTAACCGAGATGCTGGTAGATATACGTGTTTCTTAATAAGAATTTTCAGGGGAATGCAGTGATTCGACCTCATGACTAGAGAAACAGAATTTCTCTGATTGTTATTTATTATAGTCCTGGTTAACAGTCTCAATTTCGAATTCCTTATTCGTTATAGCAATTATATTTTTCATTGGATTTCGGTCTTGTTTTTTTTTTATGTTTATTACCTCAAACATTTTGTCCACGTGTCCAACCTGCCTGATTTCTAAAAGCGTCATCGTCTTTGATTTCATATCTGTTCCTTATAGACAATAGATTTTCATAAAGTCGTAATTTCTAGCTTTATAGCTGCACTCTCTTCCAAATGAAGTTCGAAGTTCATTGACATGTCTTACTGCAAATGAAAATAGCTGTCAGACTGGGACTTAAAATATTAAAACTTCAGTTAGATGTATCTAAGGACTCCCGGTAATTCGCGATGAAGATGCGCAAGATGGTGAAGTAATTTATATATTATTAACAATAATGCATGCACGAATCTCTAGTGTCATCTTACTCGTAAATTGGAATCTTGTCACAAAATAGGGTTTCTATTAATCTTGTTGGTCCATTCTCACATTTATCACCC